TATTTGAAAAAGGGTATTGTTATATGAAGTAACACAAATGTAAGCATTTTCTAAGATCATGAAAGTAACATTACAATAGTTTTATATTCTTTCTGTACAAAATATAATTGGAATATTAATTATTTTTAACAGCCAATTGTGTACTTACAGTAATAGAAAAAAGTTCGTATTTCAAAATCCACATTAAATATGGCCATTTCTTTGCTAATACGTACTCCCTCTTCAAAACATTTCACAGTTTGAAATTGGAATATGCTGAACCTTAATTTCAAATTCAGTATATTCCATATCCCAAAGTTTGTGTTAGTCTCTTTATTAAAATGTTTCAAAATTTGCAAATGTCAGCTGACTGAATGCTAAAGAGAATTGGAGGACAATTGAATTGTGTGCCATTGACTAAATGCACTTTGCATCAGAATCTGGTTTGAGTATCATTTAATTCAAAAAAGGCCCATTTTTAGGAAGCCAGAAGTTAAAATGCCGAGGAGAATAATAGTAAGTCAAACCAGGTTCCAAACTTAATGATTTTATTTACTTGTTCTTGTTATATTACAGGTACAAGAAATGAAGTGTTCTGATATAATCATATGACTATTGTGGGAGGCAAATTAATGGTCCACCAAAGATGTCCACATTATATTCTGTGGTACATGTGAAGATGTTGTGTTATATGGCAAGGTGGAATTAAGGTTTTAGATGAAATCAAGGCCTGTAATCAGGTGACTTTAAAATAAGAGTTTGCCTCATTTATCCAGCTGGGTCTAATATATTACAAAGGACCTTAAAAGATGGAAGAAAAGAGAAGAGTCAGTTTCAGAGAAATGAAATGTGAAAAAAGACTCGACCAAACATTTAGTTAAGAAAGGTCAGTTTGGATTTTGGTTCTGCTTACCGTATTCATGCTAGTCCAGTTATTATAAAGTAAAGATTCTGCCGGTACAGTTGCACATAGATGCAAGACCACTGTCGGAGAGTATGGAAACATTTCCAGAAAAAGAACAGCTATGGACTGAACTGTGTCCCCCTGAGGTTCATATATCGATGCTCTAATTTTTACTGTGACTGTATTGGGAGGAAGGAAGTAATTCAGGTTGAATAAGGCCATAAGAATGGGGTCCTGATAGGAATAGTCTCCTTATAAGAAGAGACACCAGGGAGCTCAGCCTTTCTCTCCACTGTGTGAGAACGCAGCTAGAAGGTGACTGTCTATAAGTCAGGAAAAGGACTCTCATCAGAACTAAACTATGCCTGCACTCTGACCTAAGATTTCTAGCCTCCAGGACTGTGAGGAAATAAATATCTATTGTTTAAGCTACCTAGTGTATGGTATTTTGTTATGGCAGCCTAAGCAGATCAATGCAGGAACATATTGAGTGAATGAGTACAATACAGGTCATAGAGTAAAATTCTTACGGATTTTCATTCTTGTATTTTATAACAGTAATGACTATTGTCCTCATAGTCTTTGAGGGTTTGCCCATCCTCAGGCCTTAGTTTCTTCCATGCCAGCTCCTATAATTGAGGCTCAGTCCTCCCACTCCATAGAGATTTTTATGCTGTTCTTCATAACGTTCACCCTTAACTTCTCAATCTGCTTTACCGTCTGATTCATTTGACCTGCTCCTTGAAGTTGCTTCAAGCCTGAAGCTTGTATGGTACTTTCCCTTTATTTCTTTTGGAATATGCATCACCATCACTGGCATGCCTTACACGGATCCAAAACTGACAGTGAGAACACAAAATAAATGGCAAATTAAAGCTCATAGCAGAATAAACAACAATCACTGCAACTCACACTTCAGTGTGTGCCACACTAAGCGGCTGAAGGTGTTTGTAATATGCACAGTTCACATTGACTGGCTGTGAATACAAAGAGATAGTTATAGAGAAGGTAAAGAGAAAGTGATTTATATATATATATATATATATATATGTATATATACACACACACACATATATATACACATCTCAGTGATACATACAGTAATCAATTACTTTATATAGAGCTTTGTTAAGTGAAATTTGGGTATAGTACATAAAAGTTAGATTTTTTTCCTGTTGTTTATGGATTTCATTTACATTTCTTTTTGTCAGAAAGATTTTTTCAGAAAGTACAAGAAACTGAATACAACAAGAACTGTCTTACGTTAACACCCTATGAAAAGGAAAATATTGCTTGTGACTCAAATTGTATTTGTTTTCTTAATCCACTGGCTATCTCTGTTTATAGTTTTAAGTGGTTCACTAACATTCATATGTGAAGAAATACAGTGCATGGCAGGTGACAGGGTGTGGGGCAAGAAGAGGAGAGGACAAGGACCATGTCTTCTTTCTTTCGTCATTTATAATAGCCGTAAAAAAAAAACCCTCAGATTTTATCCATACAGGACAAGTATTGCCGAGGAATGCTGCGCTAACCTTTTGTTTTGTGTACTATTAATACTCGCCTTATTTTTGTCTCCTCGCTTCAGTTTTGATCTTATGAATGAACAGCTCTGTGTCTCTACCATACAACAGCAATATTCAGAGAAGGAAGGGAATGTCTTCCCATTGTAGAAAGGCCAGGGGAGAAAATCTGTGAAGTGGACTGAGGAACAAAAAATCTGTGCTCTTCAGGCAGATACAAAGAAGACTTTCAGTATTAAGACTTCTGAATATCTTTTGTAATCATTATCTTGTTAATCACCCAATTCAAAGATCTTATTACATAATAAAAGATAGCTCCCACTGGTTCTTCGCTAAAGGATATTTAGCCAAACGTAGAAATCAAATTAGAAATTTGGTATCCTTAAATCTCTAGACTCCTTCCTATGTGTGATGAATATTTACAATTCGATTGTCATCTATACCTTTTGGCTAAGATCAAGTGCAGAATTCAATTGTCATCTAAAGAAGTGGCTGCATTGCAACTACTGGAGGTGTTTTGTTGTTTTTTCTGATGGAGTGAAATGGATGACATAAAGATGATAGGCAGTTTCATCATTATTTTATCCCAAAATGCTTACTATCTTCACTCTTGGATATACTGACGTCCACTAAAGGAAATTCAAACACCTTGTTTTACCTTATCCAAACAGGGATATTGCTTTTTATTTACAGTTATCTCAGAATTTTGAGAAAGCAGCAATTAAGACAACTCCTACTCTTAAGGGCCGGGCGCGGTTGCTAACGCTTGTAATCTCAGGACTTTGGGAGGCCGAGGTGGGCGGATCACGAGGTCAGGAGTTCGAGAACGGCCTGGCCAACATGGTGAAACCCCGTCTCTACTAAAAATACAAAAATCAGCTGGGCATAGTGGTGGGCACTTGTAATCTCAGCTACTCGGGAGGCTGAGGTGGGAGAATGGCTTGAACCCGGGAGGTGGAGTTTGCAGTGAGCAGAGATCGCACTATTGTACTCCAGCCTAAGTGACAGAGCTAGACTCTGTCTCAGAAAAAAAACAAACAAAAATACTGATACTCTCATTAACCAACTGTCATATACTTTTTCAAGATCAATTACCAGGATTTCTGCATGCTGAGGTGTCTGAGAAGATGGTGGGCAGATAACTATAACATGAGACTCCTTACACACACACACTTTCCCACACACACACTCCTTTGCACTTCAATGTAAGCTGCTACTAAAACTCCCTTTTTTCCCCTAGCAGTGCCAATATAACAGTTTTGCTTTGCAATTGCAAGAAAACAGACTAGGAATAAACATTGGACTAGTGCAGGCCAGAATACAGAATATGAGATTTTAAAAGTCTTAGAGGGAGAAATATTCTTCTTCCTTAGGCAGTATCCGTGCAAGTGACTTCAAAGAGATACCCCTTAGTACATACCCCATGTTGACTTTGAGATTCCCTAATTTCTGGAAACCTGTAGACCCAAGGATGACTTCCTCATAAATATTGTTACCAATAAATTCGAATGAGATTTCTGTTTGCTTTGCCTGATTTTCTTCAGAAAGTAAAATAAATTTCCACTCTCTTCAATATGTGGTGATACTTGTTTCTTGGAAACTCTTTATACGTCAAAATTCAAGCCTATGTTGAGATTTTGATAATTACCTACATGTGTATAACAAACCATGACTCACTTTTCTGAAGATATTTGCCAACACTATGTATAAGCAGAGAAAATAAACTAAAAATGTTCTTAACAAAAATAGATTCTTAAAAACTATGCACTAAAACTGTGCTAACTTTGTGTCATAAAAGTGTCCCTTAGATTGTCTGCCAGAGCCTAATCACACAGCCTTAGTAAGTTTAATTATTTGATAGAAATCCATAGTTACTATAAACAGTTAATTAGAAATGGAAGGCTTCTATAGTGTGATACTGTGATAGTAGAAAGAAGTAATAATTGAGAATGCAGAAGTGAACATAAGACATCCCAAAATATAAATTCCCAGAGTCATTTAATACATGGAGTTATCAATTAGGTTGTTTATTCATTAAAAATATTTATTTAGCACCTGTAGAAATAGATACAATAATTGCTATCACCTAAATTGTGCTCACTCTAAGCCAGACACCTCTTAAGCTTTTCTTCTTTACTAACTTATTTACAGCCAGTGTAGAAAGTCAATATTACTGTTATACCCATTTTATAGAAACACAGAAAAGTTAAATGACTTGTCAAAGTCACACACCCAGAAATGACTGGAGCTGTTTGATCTGCCTCTAGAACCTATACTCATAAACACTACACTGTATTTGTTCTTGAAATCCAATTGACTTTCATAATAACTTGCTTTGGGCTATATAAATAATTTCAAAACAGAAATTTACTCAAATTGCTATTTGTCCTTTAAAATTGGTTTCCTACTGCTTCCATAATAATACATTATTAGCTGGGTACATGGCCACTCAGCTTGAGACTGCATTTTCTGTATTTTCTAGTCTTCTTTGTAGCTAGATGTCTTTCTAATGAAATGTGAGCAGGCATAACATTCCTACTTCACAAGATTAAAGGAAATATTTTTTTCTACATCCCTCTTGCCGTTTCCTACAGGTTTTCAAGTGTTGGTAGTGGCAACCCAGCTGCAACTATGTAGCCAATAGCAACATAAGAATCAAGACAGAAGTAAGTTGATTTTTATGTTGTATCTGAATTACTTCATGGAGCAGAACCATTTTACAACCTAGACCAATCATTTCTAGGATGTTATGTTGGACAGCAATACATTTTAATTTTACTTAAGCTATATGGTTGCTGTCTTTCTTAAGGCATCTTAATGTGTTTCTTATCTTATACAGAACTAATAATGCATTGTGCAATAGCTTGCAGTGAGCCGAGATCGCGCCACTGCACTCCAGCCTGGGTGACACAGCGAGACTCCGTCTCAAAAAAAAAAAATTAAAAAAAATAACATTGCATTATTGGAATAACTATATCATTTATCTTGAAGGCAACTATTTTTACAGACAGTGGCATTATGAAAGGGAAAATCATTTGGATAAGCCAGAAGAGACCTAGTCCTTAGGTCTATGTTGATTATGTTCTATCTCTAAATGTGTCTCATTATATATTGATGATGAAAGAAGGACCTGTGTCCTTTTTTTTTTTTTTGAAACAGAGTCTCGCTCTGTCACCCAGGCTGGAGTGCAGTGGCGCGATCTCGGCTCACTGCAACCTCCGCCTCCTGGGTTCAGGCCATTCTCCTGCCTCAGCCTCCCAAGTAGCTGGGACTACAGGCGCCCGCCACCACACTTGGCTAGTTTTTTGTATTTTTAGTAGAGATGGGTTTCACCATGTAATCCAGGATGGTCTCGAACTCCTGACCTCGTGATCCACCCGCCTCAGCCTCCCAAAGTGTTGGGATTACAGGCGTGAGTCACCGCGCCCAGCTTTTTTTTTTTTTTTTTTTTTTCCCCTGGTCTCCTTTCTCTAAAGAGAAAGACAATAAAAGCAACAGGTATACTTTTATAAAAGTACAATACCAGAGAGAAGAAATTTTACAAGATGCTAAAGAGGAACGAGTCTAAAATTACGAGAAGAGAGGGAAATAAAAGAGAGCACGGTGATTTCCCAATATAGCCGATGCTTGAGGTAAACACTTAGGAATAAGTAGGAATTTCTTGTGCAGAAACTTTGGAGAAAGGTATTCTGGACATAAGGAACATCAGTTATAAAAGCAAAGAGACACAAATTAGCATGAGAAAATGACTAAGCAAAAGTGTTTCCGTATTGTTGGAATATAAAATGGAAGAGTAACGAAAAGATGATATGGGAGAGTTGCTTAAGAGTGTGTGCTTTATACTGAGAGCAACGTGAGGGTCACTGAAATTTTTAAGATATGGGACATATGGTAATATGTATTTAATTAACATATACCATATATTCTGCTCTCTGCTTGATGTAAGAGATACAGAAAACTGAAACATGGTGTGTGTCCTCAATAAGCTCACAACTTACTGGGAAACCACTTAAAGAAACAGCAGCAATGCCTTGTGATAAGTGCGTGATCGGTGCTCTGAGGAAGGCAAATGCCTTGTGCTTGTGTTATGGAAGAACAGCAGGATGTGGGAAGTCATAAAGATGAGAAAGACGGCGGCTCTTCTACAGAACTGCAAGTAGTTTAACAGCAATGCTGGCGGGTGGGAAACAGAGAGTGACAGAGAATAGACTGGAGACTAGTCAGGAACCATGCCAGGAAGGTCTTCATGCCATACTAAAGACGCTGGATTTTATTCTGAAGCCAATCACAGAATACGAAAAGAAAAATTGAGGAGGTACAGCCAATGGAAGTGATGCATGAGGGAAAGAAAAGAGTATGAACATAATTTTGTGCCTCACTGAACCACTGGCATGATGGGGCCTTGAAATCGGGAATAAAAGTGACGGGATCAATTCAGGAGCAGAGAAAGAATGTGCTGTTGCAGTAGGTGTCCATTAAAGGGCCTGCCCTGTCCACAGCCCTCCATGAAGAAGGAGACCCATTTTCCTACACAACACCCTGTCCATAGCTGAGGTAACTGAGTTAAGGATCTGACCAAGGAATAGACAATTTGTAGTCGGGGCCTGACAGTAATGATGTGTCCTAGCATGAAAGAAGAGCCGGTGAGAAATATCCAGGTAATGAGGTAGTCAGCAGCGGGAACTGACTTTATAAAGTTGCAATGCAGAAGTTGAAACCTATGACAGACCGTGGTGAGCCATATACAAATCAAAGCGATGAGGAAGGTGATACGTAGAAAGAAGCAGAGACGTCCTGGGGAGACTGTAAGCTCTCGACAGAAATGGAGTGAGAAGCAGTCACCTGAGGTGCTTGCTGCTGATGGCATTCACTGTTCACGCCTTATAACAGACTCACTTTTCCTCGAGGGAGTGTTCGTGATTTTCTCTTGCTTGCAACCCAAAGAATCTGACTAAAAGAGTCACCAACCAGCTCTGTGCCTTTTCTCCCTCAACCTCTGCAGGGGGCTTTAAAAGTGAAGATCATAGTTGAAATTATTTTAGAAGCAATTTTTTTCGTTTCAGCAAATTTTTATATAACCGATCAATAAAACCTTTAGATTTACTATTAAGAAAGTCATGAGTGACAGTTTTTAGAATTACAGGAGTTGAGACAGGGTTGTCTACTGCCCCACTCAGTATAAAAAGAAAATGCACAGACCTTGCAGGAGGTAATAAAGTTAATCTCCCCTTTCCACACTCTTCTGCTGTCTCCTCTCCTGGGCAAGTGGCTGGAAAAATATGTCCAGGTGCTACCACTGCAGGGGAGAAATGGCTGTTGCCTTGCCCTGCCTGGTGACTCCAGGAGAGTGTGTAACCTCAGTGTTCCTTGTGCCCACTCTCAGATCCCCACAGAGGCATTTGGCAGCCTTAGTCAGTAGGTGGCAATGAGAAGGGGGCGGCAAGGCCAGACTGGGGCACCAGAGAGCAAGGATGGGCCTTAGAGAACCTGTTCCAGAAAAACATACATGGTGTGAGCTGGACCACCTATTTGCTGAGATTCCAAGAACCCAGCACATGTTTCTTTCCTCCATTGGACTCTACTTATAAAGCATAAATGTAAAGGTAACCTTATGAAGAATTTCAAAATGGAAACTTCAAAGCATTAAATCCCAAATATGAGCCATATTTAGTTTGGAGTCCTATTTGACTGTATCGGTAGCACACCCATGAAACCAGACTTCAGTTGATGAAATCTCCATGGGGGGGAGGGAGAAAATTTGTGATTCAAATAAGTATTTTATAAAATAAAACAAATTCCAATTTATTTTCCATCCAAGGGAATCTTATTTATAACTTATTGATGAAACAGAACAATTTGATATATTATTTTTCCCAAAAAGACTATTTATTTGCTAGATGGAGTTCCCAGGAAATTATCGCTCTTGCTAAAAAACAAAAACAGAGCAGGTACAGTAACAAAAGTTTCATAAAAGTCACATTGTAAAACAGTATTTAGAAATTCTCATAATATAGAAAGTCATTCTGAGAATTCGCCATCTCTATTAGTGACTCGGTGTTTAACTTTTCCATCTTTAAGAATTTGTTCTTCACCCGTACAAGATAAAAAACTGTGATTTCCAAGCTGTTGTAACCATGTCCTATTGGCCAAATTCCCACTAGAATGTATTAAAAGGAGAAACCTGTCAATGGAGATGTAGCTTGGGACTGTGGGCCATGAATCTGAAACATGGACAGACTTGGAGAAGTAGTTTCACAATTTGTACTTATTTCTTATCAAGCAGCTATTTCTTTCCTGCAAGCAGCAAAATAACAGCCTTCGTTGTTGTTGTTCTGTTTTCTAAAGGAAGGGAGAGAGTCCCCAGATTCTAAGCAGTATGCTTATATTTCTAATCATGCAGAAAAATCTTGGAAAGGGTGGTTGTTAAACCAACCAGCTGTTTTGTTTCGGAGGCCTTCAAAAAAATGCAGTGTTATTCATAAGAACACTATTCACTGAAGTTGCAGCAATGGCTCGCACAAAGCTTCTGGTTAACAGAAGAGAGACAGAGGAAAGAATTCAAGTATGAGAAGGTAAGGGTAACTTCAAAATCACAGAAGTACATGGGAGCAACCCAGTGGCCAAAGAGGACAAGAGACCACATAGTGAGCTTTTGACACCCTTAGAGTGGCTCAGGAGTTCTTTATTATTCGAGCAAAAAAATAAAAACATGATTTTCCCCTGGCAATGATTAGTACACGCCATTGACCAAGAAGGAGCTCTTGAGATTACAATGTGCTATGTCTTGGTTCTCACAGAAGTTTTCTTTCCTCTAATGAATAGCCAGTATAATGATTTGTGGTGCTATCCTAAAAAGTCATACCATAATCCCCATAAATGATGTTCAAGACAGCACTAGCTTGTTGTCACCTCTCTCTGTACTCTTTTGTTAGCTGCAGGAAGACCCTCAAATATGGAGATTTGCAATGTAAAGGAAAAAATAGACTGGAGTTTATTATTCAGCTGGGATGTTGCCCATATGTCCACGTGTGGTAATAGTGTTCTCTCTTTCTATATGTGTTCTCAAAATGGATAAGTAAACGCCACAGCCCTGAGTTAGTATGGGGTATACTGATGCCCTCTTAATGTTTAATTGCAGGGGAAGCATTCCCTGGAAAATAGCCAGGGTATCTTGTGAACTGAACAATTTTCGTTTAGTGCTGACTCTGCCTAGTTGACACTGAAGTGCTATGATCTTATTCACTGCCCCATACCCAAAAGCTGTGTGCAATTTTCTGCTCTGCCTGGTAAGGATGATTTAGCCATTGTCCTGTTTAGGTGATAGCTAATTTAATCACTCATGATGTTAATGCAATGTAATACATATGGTAATATTCATGGCACCCTGCTTAGGGAGCCTTTGGGTTATTTAGTGTCAGCCCATTTCACTGGCCTAGACAGAGCTCAGGAAGGTTCATTCTCTTCCCAAAAGCATTTTGCACTCATTAATTTTTGCAATGTTTTGAGTGTGAGGCAGATTATATTCAGCTGCAATAGCAGCGCTATACGTATTAGTATTTTCTAGCACATTTCTATGTATATAGCTCTTTTTGACATTATTTGACAAATAAAGGATACAGTTACCTGCTGGGCATCAAGCTCATGTTGTCTCAAGCCTACATCGGTTTAAGTTCTTATGTTACTTCCCTGCCGCACTGGGGATTCCAGTGCTCAGCAAACACCTCTTTCCTTGGTACAGTTGGAAGCATAACCGTTATCCCATCTTGCTATTGGAAATGATTATAGTCACCCAGACATGAACTCTGATCACAGCATTGCCTACTTTAAATACAGTCCCTAGGAAAAGTGTGGTTTATCTGAAGTGGTGAGTGGGGTTACAAGCGGGGGGTTAGCTGGATTGTCGATACAATCATGAACTCTACGATATTATACCTAGAAGTCACTCATTCAGTTCATATATATTAAATGGAGAGAGGGAGGGAGGAAGAGAAAGAGAGAAAGAGAGGGAGGGAGGAGAGAGAGAGAGAGAGAGAGAGAGAGAGAGAGACAGAGTAGATACCTAAGGGTCAAGGAGGGTAAGTGTTTTGCCAAAATCATGCAACTCAATAGTTTCAGAAATGAAAGTAAACCAGATTCCCACAATTTCTTGTCCCATCACCCCCCATTCCCTCCAGAGACAGTTTGACAAAGCCGTGACTGAATTTTGCAGAAACTTTAGATTCCAGGACCAATGTCCTGATACTCTTAGGCAATGCTGCCATTCATTCTGCCACAAATCATCTGACCAGTAAATACCGAGCACTCTTAAAGTGTCAGACACTGAGCTTAAGACACAGGAAACCAGATATAAAAGCCATATTGAGCCCCTCTGTTCAGACATATCCCTATGTTAGGCCATTTCTCTGGCAACCAAGGTGCCATCTGAAGGGTTACTCCTGAACAAATCTCTGTTGTTGAGCAGAATTCGATGGTACAGGGTAAAAACAGTTTTCAGTGAGTCTGAAACATGAACATATAACTCAATTAATTTGGAATATTATCTACAAAATATGTAAGTATTGTCAGGGCTCAGAACATGCTACCCCGATTATGGCACCTTGGAGTAACCTCAGTTACTCTCTGAATTTTTCCTGCCTTTCTTCCCTGAAACAAGGTTGTAAAAAAATTCTCTGACCTATCTCCTTTGAAAGTAGGTTATACAACCCTCATTCCAAAAGGATTCCGTGTATATCCAGAGGCCAAGAAGAATCTGAAAAAAGAATCTGGATGCGTTCCCCCAGTTTATTACCATAAGAACACACATAGCCTTTTGTCCTCCAATCATACTTCTTCAGGACTGTCCATAAAAAATACACAGCTTTCCCTGGGTCTTTGCATTTTTATTTCTGAAGACTCGGGTCATGTATAATTTCCATGAAATAAATTTGCCATGCTTTTCTTTTTTTAATCTGCCATCGCCGTAGGGTAGAAGCATGAACCTTGAGATGGGTGAGGAAAAGATACTACTTTTTCCCCCTATAGTATGCACATGGGATGACAACATAAACAAATAATTTTAAATAAACAATAAAATGAAAATAGAGTATCTTTTTACTAGCTGTAAACAGTGGAAATAAGTGCGTTTAGTAGATATGTAGGAATAGAAGAAAAGCACAATGGAAGTGGCATATTGGAATTAATCATTTTTTCTCTAATTTATTGGAATTGCTTCCTACGGGAGATGAGATTTCAAGACTTGTTTGAGTGATGAAGAAAAGGGAACTTGTCTGGGAGAATCAGAAGTTTTGTGAGAGAAAGCAATTTGCCCAAGGTCATGTAACTAGCCAGTGTCAGAGTAAGGAATTAAACACGTTGAAAAGAAATGAATGTTTCTGTATCGAGTCTCTTTATAAGAGCACCTTCAAGTTGATGTCAAGAATTTTCTCCAGGAGGTAGAAAAGAATTACAGTGACCTTCATGAAATAATACATCGTGTCTCAGAGAAAAGAGACTCTGAGTTTTTCAGCTGAGAAACCTGGGTTCTGAGGGCAGATCTGAACCTACTTTCCACATTATCCACAAAATGCTTTCCAAATCTCTGTCAAACCTAGAGCAAGACTAACTACCCCTCTGCAGAAGATAAAAACTTGCTTTGTTCAACCTTTTATCTAAGGAGTATAATCCTCATTTTCCTCTTGAAAATAAGAGTAATAAATGAATGCAAACATTCACAGCCGATTTCTGTCAAGAATCTCTCCCAACCAATTAACCTGAGTACGAATGGAGCAAAGCAAGCAGCTTAGCTGATCACAGAAATGCCAAGTCAGAGAGAAATGTCTTTCAATTAGTCATATCATCCGAACCTGCAATTTTACTTGCCTTAGGATCAAATTCCATCCATTTCCTGAACACCCTCTCTCCCAGTCCCTGGCCATTCTCTTATTTGCTTGTTTTTCTCCATAGCAAATCTCCCTATCAGAATTTTTATATTTTTTCCCACTCTCTTCCCCCACTGGAGTGAAAGCTCTGTGAAGCCCTAAGTTTTTGCTGTAACCATAGTACCTAGAATTGGATATAGCACAATGATAACATCTAATAAATATTTATTAAACAAATACATATCTAACAAACAATAAAATCTTCTAATTTTTTTCATTTTTTAAATGGCAATGAAAATTTCTAAAAGCACACAATTACTGAATCAAAATTGAGAGTAAACAAATATTTTCCATGACACTATGCTTTACCATTAGTGTGGGTGACAGTTACTAAATATTACATGCTACATATTGTAAATACTATCTTCTGATAAGTGTGAATCGTAGAATTCAACCTGAAGAATATACATGATATACATGGACACTTCGCTTGAGACACCAAAGATTCAGAAAACATGTATTGAGACTCACTGATAGAAGTTACTTAAAACAATCCATTTTTTATTTATTTTTAGTTTCTAGTTTTTAAAATGTTAAGATATTTAATTGAAAAATAAAAATTGTGTATATTTAAGGTACATAAGGTGATTTTATATTTGTCTACATTATATACTGATTACTGCAGTCAAATTAATCAACACATCAATCACCACCCATAGTTACCCCTTGAGTGTGTGTGTGTGGGGGGGTGGGGTGAGGACACAGTATCTCTCTTATAAATTTAAAGGAAATAATGGAATATCATTACCTATAGTATAGTATTTCACTACACTATACATTAGATCCACAGAACTTAATTATCTTACAGTTGAAAGTCCATACCCTTTGATTAGCCTCTCCTCACTCACCCACCCCCAGCTCCTGGCAACCACTATTCTGTTCTGCTTCTATAAGTTCAACTTAGATTCCACATAAGTAAATTCTGTTTCACAGTGTCTAGATAATTTCACTCTTTTAAGAATTGCTGATGGAAGTCACTTAAAACACTTCACTTTTTTAAAATGTTCAGTTTTAAAAATATACATAAAAATATCCAGATGCGAAATAATATAATTCCTTAGAAGACATTATTCCAAGAATGGCCATAGACCTTAGAGTCGGCTAGTCTTGGGATTTGGATCTTAGATCTGCTGCTCATTGAGCCCATGACCTTGGCTAACTTATCCATGCAAAGATTACATTTCTCTCTCAGTAAACTGGATAAAATAATATCCACCTTGTAGTAATGTTGTGAATATTATACATTTTATCAGTATTATATTTAAATATTATTTATATATTAATGTATCAAAAGAATTATTTTCATAAATAATGTAAAGTCTGAGGCATTGCAAACCATTAACAGATGCATATTCTTGCCCAGGCTATCCTGCACATCCCATCTACTTCTCTCAAAGTCTTTTGGCACTCAAACCCCACTGCCCAAATGTTAATTGCATTGGTATGTTTACAGTATTGATAGAAGCTGACTTTTTCCCACGTTTTAGTGAAAATGAATTTTGGAAGAGAGGAATTAACTTACTCAACTAATCAATTGTAGATCATGCAGCATTTTATCTCTGTGTTTCCAGATTTTCCCAGTGTCTCGGGTGTGCTTTAGTGATTTGTGTGCATGCTCTATTTCTCCTACAAGATCATGTGTGCCTTCAGGGCAGGATGTGAGTGCTTTCATCATTGTATGCCCTGAAGAATCTCAGTGCCCTTCACATTGTTAGTACTTGAAAGGTTTGTTTAATGACTAAAAATGAATTTGATGAGAATCTCACAGGCATATTTCACATGTTTGCTACATATAATGTGTACATTTAATTGATACACAGAAGCACAATTTTAATGTTAAAAATTTTTAAGCTTTTTAAAAACTTTATGAGTATAACACTGTACATCATTCTGTAAATCAATTTTGAGTGCAAATACAAGTTTTGGTTATCTATATTGGTGGCTTATTGCTAATGAGGTTACTAACATCTTAGAGTTATTGAATATTTTTGTTTCCTATTCTATGAATGAGAATTTATAATCTTAAGCTTTTTGTTTGTTGAAATGTTTATTTAAAGGAAATCTGTATATATTCTGGAAACAACGATTTTATCTTATTATACATACTGAAAACTCAGTAGCTCATCATCTCATTTTAAAGTGATTTTAAAGAGGTTTTTTAATTTTAGTGCTGCCAAATTTGACAATTTTTAATTCACATTTATCTTTTAACACATACATCCAAACTTGACCAGAGATCTTAAAAACAGTCACCTATATTTTCCTTAACATGTAAAAGCTGTACTTTTACATTTGGACTTTATTCCACCCAGATAGATTTTTTTTTTCTTTTTTCTGGTGTAGTGTGAAATAGAAATAGGTTTGCTAACGCCTGTTAGGTAACTTACTTTCCAGTTTTTGAGCAGTCTACCTTTTCCCCATGGATTTACACTGCCAATTCTGAGATATATGAAATATTTATCCATGTACATAGCCCTATTCTGGTGTGTATGTATGTTTAGGTGTGTACCTGTGTGCGTTTGTGCCTATTCCTGTGATAATTCCATTTCCTTAGTTACTGCAGACTGGCTTTAAATACTGACATCTGGCATGTGGTAAGATGACCTCCTCATGACTGTTCTGGTTTGTATTGCCTCTTCTCAGTGTATGGTACCTACTAATTTTTGAAAATTCAACCATATATGAAAGTATATTTACAGTTTTACTTAATTTTTTATTCAATCATTTCTAGACATTTGTATTAAAATGTTTCTAATGCATCTTTATTACATTTTTCTTAGATCACTTTGCTCTGACTAGCAGGACAGGTAACATGATTTGTGGGATCCAACATAAATTGAAATTCTTGGGCTCCTTGATCAAAAAGTATTAAGAATGTCAAGACGACGAGAGCAAAACATTAAACCAAGCATTTCCTAGCTCTTCTAAATGCACAGCTGTCATTTCCTTGGAGCCAGTCCTCCTGTCCAGCCACCTCTCTGCGGTAATTGCTATGTGCTTTAGAGTCATTTCTCACTGTTTTCCCTTCAGTCAGTCTGTCCTCCTTTTCTGGAGCTTCCATGTAACGCTACAGCCATTGCCTGTTCTTATTATTTGTCTTTATTGCCCTATACTTTCTGAACTTCACATGTTGTGTCCTTAGGGTTAATAACCAGAGCTTCACAGTGCCCTATTGGCACAGTTGTTCTATCTGCCAGGTACACATATCTTGTCAGTAGCAATGTTGGCATAGTCAATACACACGCTACTGCTTAACTCTCAGGATTTATTTCCTACACCTTTGCATTTTGTGTAATGTCTTTACAACTTTTACATTCCATTGGCTTTCTTTCTGTCCCTCAGAGAACTCAACATGCTTTCTCACTCAATACCTTTGTATTTTTAGTTCTTTCTGCCTAGAAGGTTCTTAAGCAGATCTGTGTATGGCTAGCTTCTTTTTAGCATCTAGGTTTTGACCCAATGTCACCCTCCTCAGAAGTTTCCTTGGTCAACAGCACTTTCTAAAATTATATAATTTATTTACTTGCCAAGTCATTACATGTCTCTTCCTGCTACAATGAAATTTGTCACAGAGGGAAGCCATACTTGTTTTGTTCAGCTCTATATCCCGTTTAGTTACTAAACATAATAAATATTTGTTAAGTGGATTAATAAATCCTAGAGTTTTAGCAGATGGAGGGGATGATCAAGAACCTTCCGGGGGTTGGGCTCGGTGGTTTACACCTGTAACCCCAGCACTTTGGGAGGCCAAGGCAGGTGGATCACCTGAGGTCAGGAGTTCGAGACCAGCCTGGCCAACATGGCGAAACCCCGTCTCTACTAAAAATACAAAAAAAATTAGCCAGGTGTGGTGGCGGGTGCCTGTAATCCCAACTCCTCAAAGGGCTGAGGCAGGAGAATCACTTGAACTTGGGAAGCGGAGGTTGCAGTGAGCAGAGATCGCACCATTGCACTCCAGTCTGGGCAATAAGAGCAAAATTCTGTCTAAAAGAAAAGGAAAAAAAAACCCTTCTGGGGAAGAGTACAATACACCAGAGAGTGGAAAGAGTGTGGCATGTAAAAAAAAAAAAGAAAAAAGAGTTAGGATATTTTAGTGGACAGTTTCCAGAGCCTTGATATTGAAGCTATTGTTTTCTCATTCATACACTGAATTTCTTAAGGGTAGGGGACTGAATCTCATTTATCTTGATGACTTTAGACCCTAGCACAGAATGTCACTTATGTTGGGCTTTAGTTAATGGTTATTGAAATGAATAAACAGATTTCTCTTAAACATTATAAAAATGTATTATGGCTTTATTCTTAAGCTAAGGAGAGAGCTCTTATCTTTTTGTCTTATTAAAAGAAAGCTCTTCTGCATTAATTCAAGAAATTGTGTTTGAAAGCAGGTTACATGGGTGCTGCACTGTGAACAAACTCTGGCTTTGTTTTATCACCTGAGGTGGTGTATAATAAATTCATCAGCTGAGACTTATGATGGTGATTAGGGTGGAGATTCTCTTAACCATGCAATTATGAAGGTGACTTGTAAATTCATTTTTCACAAAAGCTTAAAAGGCTGACTATCTGGGCCTTCAGCCTCACATATGGCACCACCACAGCTGGATGTGGAAGGCAGTGCCACTACCCTCAACAAACGAGGCATTCCTTGCAACTGCCTGACTCTGAAAGTTCAAAGGTACCCAAAGGCTTCCTCAGTATTACAAGTGGCAGACCCATTTGCCACTAGATGTATTTTGTAAGACATGAGACTTTCAGTATGTGAAGTTCCTCTCACTCTCTTTAAGTGATTATAAAGGACGTAGATTGAGAATTGGATGTAAAAATAAATATTGTTTGTAATAAGGAGGGCAACAAGTTTCTGCAAATAAAAGTTAAGTACATATCACAATGAGTACTCACAGAGTAGTAGGTGATGTAAATTTGGCTGCCCACATAGTCTAGAACATCATTGAATAGGGTGACAGAGGCCGGATGCAGTGGCTCAAGCCTGTAATCCCAGCACTTTGGGAGGCTGAGGCGGGTGGATCATGAGGTCAGGAGATCGAGACCATCCTGGCTAACATGGTGAAACTCCGTCTCTACTAAAAATACAAAAAAAAAATTAGCCGGGCATGGTGGTGGGCACCTGTAGTCCCAGCTACTTGGGAGGCTGAGGCAGGAGAATGGTGTGAACCTGGGAGGCAGAGCTTGCAGTGAGCCGAGATGGCACCACTGCACTCCAGCCTGGGCGACAGAGCAAGACTCCGTTTCAAAAAGAAAAAAGAAAAGGGTGACAGATTTGATTTTTTCTCTTTAGAACACCTACTGGCTTTTATTTTAGAAAGGGAGTATAGAACTGCTGGTCATTTCAGAAGAATGGATTCTTTATTCACTTGCTGATGCCTTTAACCTGTCCGGTATTCTGATGTTAAGCAAAGATGAATTGAACACTCATAGGTTCAAGACAGAAATGTAAACCTCTGATCTCAAAGGCTATAATATACAGTAGAAAAGATCTTGCAAGTAGAGTAGTCACTACAATATTTATGAAAGATAAGAAAAAAGGACAGACTTGGGCCACCTGAGTAGTATCACAAAGTAAAATTCTATAGCTGTTTGAGGAGAGAGATGAGTTCCAAGAGAAGCAGACAGTACAATATCAATCACAAGATCCTTCTTGCATGCCTCAGGGTTGAAAAACGTTTTGAAATAGGGGAAATGGAAAAAAAATAATGAGGAAAAAGAATCTGAATATAACAGAGTGAGGGGCAACAGCATAGGAGGTGGGCGAAGGTGCAAAATATGGGCTCAAAATAAGAAGGACGCCCACTGTACTGAAACATGGGGATGATATATTAGAGTATTTGATGAGAGCTTGGACAAACAGATTGGTCACAAAGAAATCAGAGTGATGGTAGATGCTAGGCCTTTAATCGCCAGATGATTATAAGCCACTGAAAGATTTGGAAAAATAATTTTCTTAAAGGAATACTTTAGAAAAATTGATTTAGTGGCAGTGTGAAGAAGACAATGTAATCGAGAGGGAAAAGAAACAAAGAAAACCGTTAGGATACCATTGAAATTATTCAGAACCAATTGGACTTTAAGATCAAGAACTATGGCAGCAGCATTTAAAATTGAAAGCAAGTAAGGGAAAAACAAAAACCAGAAAATAATTATCGTATCAACAAGAATTGGAAAGAAGTCACAATTTAGACTGTTAATGATTACAAAAGAATAGAATTCATCAATTCCTGATTTGGAGAAAAAAGGAAACTTTTTTCTCTTTTATTTT